CAACCTTCAGTTTGATAGATCCAGGAAGACGTCTATTAACCATTAATGCAATCGACGCATTGAATTGACCAGGAAGGACGATAGGGCTTGGGGATAGTTTGAACGATTGCATTAAAGTAGAATCTTGCAGAAGTTCTACAATAAAAATACTGTGTTAAGTCTTCAGAGGAAAAGGAAACTTCGACGAATTATTCGCATAACATCAAGCTATCTCTTTATCGCTATGGTTTATCAAGGTTTATCTTGACTAGATTTTGATCTCACAAACAATACGGCTTTTGCGTGAAACGGTCACATGGTGCTAAATCCACCATACTGGATGGCAAATACCTATTGGGATGTTCAAAACAAAGAAAATTCAAGTTTGACGGGCTGCGTTCATTTTGTTTTTGAGTTTTTTACATTTGTGACAGGGGTTTATTTTGAATTTCTGTAATGWTAAGCTTTATTTACCGTCCCTTGGRCSTTGGCTAGACTCATTTAAGGAKTCGTGCTTWGTGCTTGACAAGGAGCTCGACCGCAGTATCGGYCTAAAATGTAGTCACTTGAAGAGATAACTTAAACGAAACCCAGAGTCAGGAGGCAAGTTTGGCCCRTAAAACTATTGTGTAAGAACATTTGGAACAAACCGACGTTGTTACACATTCGTTTGCCATACAGTCTGGCGAATTTAGTACAATGTGACCGTTTCATGTAAAAAGCTTATTGCTTTCCGTTTTTTCTCGATTTCATAGGAGTAAGGGAAAACAATAATCATTACAGCAATATGCAACCGTTATCTTTGAAGTRCRACACACCAAGTATTGTTTTGAAATTGTTATTAGGGTGAAACCAGTTCAAGATGGCGTACAGCGAAAACAACAATGTAGATCTATGGAAAGTATTTTGGAGAAAAGATATAAGTTCTCAAATAATTAATATGGTGAAGTATTTTGTTATGATATTTCTCTTTAGAGACTCATGTCATGTCATGTACAGAGGAAACAAAGAGAACCATTACTTAGGGAAACATTAGGCGAGACATTCATTTCCATTTAAACTTGAATCTGATCACTTCCAATCTAACATTTTCACTATAACTGCGTGCCATTTTACAAGATTTTCATTATTTAACGTTATTTTAAGCTCTCATAAAATTCCCTGAAGGCGTAAATTTGCATTGATTGACGTCCACTCCAACCCTAGCTTCGTGGAACTAGACTTTGATCATCAAGGTTCCCACGTCAAAGGTTATAAACTCTCTATAAACAGAGCAACATTTAAATATCTTAACCGATCAACAAGTTTCAAAATATTACCTTTGTGACATATGTAATCGATAATTAAATCCGAATACAACCCGAACATACACGATGTTTTCCCGAGCACACTCGAGGTCGGCGATATCGTACATGTAATCTTRTCTTGACATAAAAGCCTGATCTTCGCTTCTGCGCTGTATGACATGCAGTTCTGACCAATCCAACTGTTCTCACAAGTAGACTTGTACCCTTGGCCATGACCAAAGAACGCCTTAAGGACTGAAATCTTGTACCCAGGCCTACACGACAAGACAACATCTTTCCTGCCCTCACAGCCCTTTGCCCGAAGCGGGAAATTTGTTGAGCCGCTATCATTCTTTACTACGGAGAGAGAGAAAACATGAATCCTTTCCGTTTGTCCTACACGTACGCTGTTACTAATAATCGACATTTGAATTATTAAAAACCAGCCTCAATCTTTCTAAGGGAGGTCGCTTCGATGATTGTAACATTTAATCTCACGACCTTAACAATTTGACAAATTGCGCAAGGTTTTGAGTTGTATGTCCTCTTATTTTATACACTCTTGACGTCATTAAATGTTCCGGCAAAACTCAAGTGAACCCACTAGCGTAGCGATGTTTTGTTTTAAGGGACTCCTGTTTTTTTTAGGGTTTTTTTCAGCTTTTATTTTGATATCGTTTTTATCTCATTTATTTGCTGGTTCGTTTTGTTATTTAAGAGTTTTCGATTCACGTTTACTGCAAACGCCAAACTTGAAATTGGCTTTTAATCTTTTTCTCAAAATTTCAAACAAAAGTAAAAACGCTTTGAAAGGAATATTGATGCGCTTATGCGCGATCGCGAAAGAACGGAGCGTTAACACAGAAAAACAGCGATCACGTGATCAGTGTCGACGTTTGTCGTTCGACGTAAACGCGTATCTCTATTTTTTGCTGTTGTATCA